ATAATTATTTACTCTTATACATAACAATTATTACATTGTACATGAGTTAACTTTCCATTAAACTATAACCCATCGTAAGTAACAGTATTAATAGTGCTATTTAAATCGACCGTTACGATACTCAAAATCAGTTTTCGAAGATATTTTACCAAAATCAGTTTCGAAGATATTTTAGGCAGTACTTATCTCTCTTGTTAACATTCTTTTATTTACATCTCTCAATTTACTCTTATAATAATTAGTCAAATAAATATTCGGAAAGGGGGGGGGACTAAATAAGTACCTTCCTTTTTGTGATTTTCTATGGTCGCAGCTTCGTCTTTAATTATTTTATTTTTGTGTACGTAAAAAACATTAAAAAATGTTAAAAAATGGAAAAATGACCATTCCAATAAAATAAGGAAAAATATGATTCAAGCACTCTTTTCATATAATGCCTAAATTTTACCTTTTTCTAATTCATTTCCTTCATTAGCAATTAATTCCCAATTTTTGGTACCTTTTTTAAACAAAATAATTTTCATTTTTTCAAGATCAATGTAAAAATATTTTGACAAAATTTTTTTATTTAAAATAATCTGTTCGTTTCCTCCTTCATATTTTCCAATTTCTTTAATAACATCTTTGTCAAATTTGTAAGGAATAAATTTTTCTTCATCTTTACTATATTTTTCTTGAACAAACAGCTTATTATTTTCCAATTTAATGTGGTAATTATCAGGCTAAAATTTAAATAATTAATTTAAGGGAAGTGATCCCGATTAGAATAGAAAATATTTAATTCTCGTTTAGCTTTAGTGTTATCAGGGATTTCACTGAATATTTTACCTATAATATTCAAGGGGTTTTAAATAACTACCTATTCTTCATTTTCTTAAATCTATTTTATTTTGTTAATTAAAAATAATTTTATTTTTAATTTCTATTTTAAATGTAGGAAACCATCATAGAATTAACTAAAACTTGTGATGTGTCGGGAAGGAATTTATTTTGTTTGATCTAATACATGTTATGGATCCCAAGATTCGACTCCTAATTAACAAACCAACTACCGTTACTCGATTAATTCTGGGGAATTATTTTTTCAACTCATCAAGATGGGGAATTATTCAAGAGAGGGGAATTATTCGAGTAAATACGGTAACTACTTTTCCGATATACTTTCACTGCTTAAATCCTAATGCCTTAGTTGATAATTCTACTCCCTTCTTCCATACTGCCTAGCTGAATCAAAAAATTTTTAAAATAATTTTTGTATTATTTTAACAAATTTACATTTTCAATTTTCAAATCAAATTTTTCAGTTTTAACTTTTTTAGTTGCCAAACACTGATCTCCTTCACTTTTTGTTAAATAAACAAAATCTTCATAAATTAATTTATTCTCTATCAATTTAACATTCTTTACCAAATAAAATAATTCACAATCATATAAAATTTGATTAAGAATTTGTTGTTCATTATCGAGAAAAAATAAACAATTTGAATAAATAACATCAACATAGAGAGCCTTTATTTTGGAATTTTGAAGAAATTGAATGAAAAAAAGGAAGAAAATAAATTTTAAATTAAAAATGGAGAACATTTCTATAATTTTATAAAAATTTAAAAAAATATTTAATTTTAAAGAGGATTGAGAGAAAATATGTCAAAATTTTAGACATTATAAATTAAAAGAATAAATAACGATGCCTGCACGGTGAATAAACTTTTATTCTTTTGTTATACACTCTGTTACCTAATTATACGACTCCCCTCAAAAATTTTTATTTATCAATCGAAAAATCCACAAAAATTTATCTGAACATACCGTATTTACTCGATTAAGTCCACTGAGGAATTATTCGAGTTTTGAAATTTGAACGTGTAGTAGGGTATTTGGGGGAGGGGGATTATTATTTCAACTCATCCGTAGCACGGGGAATTATTCGAGGGAGGGGAATTAATCGAGTAAATACGGTACCTATCAATATCAATAGAAAATACAGAAGAAACAAAGTCATAAGATAATTCTTTCATCGAGATATCAAAAACCGAAAATCAACGGAAAATAAGGGTAAATGTCTTTTAAAAAATATTTTCGGCCCCTTATATGCTATTAAAAATTTCCACTTTATACTTTTCTGAAAGCCCATTAAATTTGCTATAAGAAACCTCTAATATTATTAATTTTTATTTTTATTGAAGAGAAAAATAAATTTAATTAAAAAATAATTTTATATTATAAAAAAAATATTTAATTAATTATAAGGAGGATAGAGAGGATAAATGTAAAATAAAAAATACATATTCTGAGTAAAACACAGAATACAAATAAAATTTAAAAATCATATGAGAATGTAAAGCGGGAAAAATCAAAAGCACTTTTAAAAAATATTTTTTTTAAAATTTATTTACGTTAATAAAAAGTGCATTTAATTTTGAAAGTCTGTCAATAGACAAATTTGGCAATATAAAATAATATATTTATTTTTTCAAAGGGGCCCTTTGATTGTGAAATTCTATGAAGAAATTTTATTTAAATTTTACAGAAATTTTTAATTAAATAAATATTTATGGTAACTGTGGGTAGTAGAGCCCCTAAATCTATAAAGATTTTTGTGGTAGCAAGCTGAACGGAATACAAATAGAAGTGGTAAAAACACAAAGATGGCATTGGTTCTGAAAAGCAGAACTAGTGCTTATATCCATAGAGTAAGTTTGTTACGCATTTTTGTCTGAACATTTTTAACACTATGAGGAAGAGAAAAATAGGGGGGGGACACAAACATACATTTTACCGATTTCTTAAAATCACATATTTAAAAATTATAAGATATTGTGCCTGATTTCTTTGGATTGAAGAAATAAAATTAGGGTTGGAGGGCCCGGTCCCGTCAGATCGAGTCTGGCACCAAATTTTGGCTAGAAAAGGACTCGGTCGGCCGGCCAGAAAAATTAACTCAAACGTCGGCCCAACTCGAAAACATTTTTAAAAACATAAAATAAAAACACATAAATGTCTAGACAACATATATTAAAATAAAATTTTAAACAATTTTATTTAATTTTGAAAGAATATATTGGCAGGGCAAAAAATAATTTTAAAATGAATAAATGTCTTTGATAGAGAATTTTGCCGAAAATGTGTTTTGATTATTAAATATTTTAATGGAAAAAATAATTTTAAAGTGCAAATATTAAAATAAAATAAAAAATTATAAAAAAATATTTTATTTATATTTATTTAAAAATATAATATTTTTTCTTTAATAAAAGTTATCATCAACGTTGATTAAGTTGGAGGTTATAATAAATGTTTATAATAATAAAATAAATAGTTATTTAAAATATTATGTTTTTATGAGGGCATAATTTGCACTAGTCGGAGGATAAATTAAAAAAACATCTAAATAAACTAACGCAATTGAGTTACTAACGCAATTGACCAAGCAGGGCGTGATGCTGTAGTTTACTGGCACAATTATTTCCGTGCCGAACTAGTTGCAGGAAGGATTAAATATAAAACTGGAGTTTTTTAGTCAATAATTTCACACATTTGGAATAAGAAAAATACTTTACTTTAACTAAGATGGCAAAAAGAAGAACTAAAAAGTATCCGATATCCAAATATAAATTGGCAAACAACAATATACAAAGTTGATTTTTATTTATTATTAGTTAAATTTTAATATACATAAATTTTTTTATTAACAATTATTAATCATTATAATCTTTTACAACTATATCGTTATAATTTAGTTCTTAAAAATTTCACATTTCACATCAATTAAGGCAAAGTTTGGTTTTACTATCACATTTATCTTTGCAATCAGTACAAGGCTCACCAGCATGATAAACACATCCTGTATAAACATTTCCACTAAAAATAATTAATTGTAACTATAAAATTAAATATTTATTACGGTGGCTTGTATTGGCAAACAACATAAGATTTATATTTGGGGCAACGTCCAATTCCACACCCGACTTGATTAGTGTTATATAGGGTTGCCAAAATGGACCGACTCGGACCGAAAGATCGAGTCATGCCTCGATGTTTGGCCCGAAAAAGTCTCGTACCGGCCCGACTCGATAAAGTTGGGCCCGAAAAAGACTCGTAACGGCCCGACTCGATAAAGTTAGGCCCGAAAGTGACTCGTACCGGCCCGACTCGATAAAAACAGGCCCGAAAAAAATTGTCTCGGAAAAAGTCGGCCCGACTCGAACAAGACTCGATAATATTTTTACCAGATTTGTGGACAAAAATGGGAGAAATCTGGCTCCTTGGCCTTCCAAAATTCGAAAAATTTTCGCCTGCGGCGCTGTAAAAAAAGAAATTTGGTCCTTAGCCTTCCGAATATCTCAAAATTTTTGCCTGCGGCGCTGAAATGAAGAATTTTTAGCTCCATACTTTGCTTCACATCTCGAACTTACTGGCTTTAATCGATAAGCTGGATTACTGGGATTTATAGGATATATTCCGCGGGATCCCATCATCATTTGAACTTTTTAAACTTAATCAGTTTTGAGAGTCCACAATTTTCCAGGGGGTCAAAATTCTCAAAATTTTCGCCTGCGGCGCTAAAAATAGAAGAAATCTGGTTTCCTGACTTTCCAGTAAGCCCTTATCTAAATACGAATAGTTCAATCATGGTACACTGGGATTTTATTAATGGATTTGGTTTTTAACGCACAATATCACTTAAATCTTGCGTTGTCCTTCAAATCTCCGATATCCATTCAAATCTCTTCAATCCTTTTAAATTCCATTACAATATATCACCTTAATTATCTGATATGCGATCCTGATCCCCTTAATCATCTGATCTCCTTTAATAAAACCAAATCTAGCAATATCTCACACCAATCCTCTGATAATTTAAATCACCTTAATCACTCAAATCCATTGATATCCATTTCAATTCTCTTCAGCCCCTCCTTTACCCTCCAGATCCATCGATATACCTTTTAATTCACAGATATCCCTCCAAATCCACTAATTATTTTTAAATAAATCTTTTAAAAAAAGACTCGAAAATGTCTCGATGCCCGACTCGATAAAGTCAGGCCCGAAAGTGACTCGTTCCGGCCCGACTCGATAAAGTTAGGCCCGAAAAAGACTCGTATCGGCCCGACTCGATAAAGTAAGGCCCGAAAAAGACTCGTACCGGCCCGACTCGATAAAAACAAGCCCGAAAAAAAATGCCTCGACCGTCGGCCCGACTCGAAAACGGCAACCCTAGTGTTATACCAGGCAAGTTGTGTCCAATGTCCAATACCTCTATTATTTTGAGGTGCATCAAATGCAACGCAGTCTTGGCCAGGATAAGGTCCCAAAGCTCCTCTGTATTCCAACTCTGACCACCATCCTTTTACTACATACTCGATGGCAGCAGCTTTAATTTAGAGAAATAAGACTTAATTAAATAATTAAATACAATCATTGTCCATTCTTGCATAAGCATAGAAATTCTCTCCATAATTCCCATATGGGTCCGAATGACTATAAGTGCATTTATCGGCCCAAGCCTGTGCCTGCTTTTCAAGTTCTAAAGAAAATTCCATTTTTTTCATATCTTTAGCTTTTGGTAGTAACTCTCCAGTTTTATTTTTAACCCTTCCTGCAACTAGTTCAGCACGGAAATAATTGTGCCAATAAACTACTGCATCACGTCCAGCTTGGTCAATTGCGTTAATAACTAAACAGAATTTTATATTTTTAAATAAAATTAAATATTACATTCATTATTCATAATGGCAGACAATGCCAAGATAGCTAATAATGAAATAAACATTTTGTTTAACTATTTAAGCTCTAATATTTAATTAATTTCTTCAATGTTTTGAGTTAAATATTAAAATTTCTGGCTTTTATAGCAAAATATTAATTTAATAATTGTGTGGTCCAGACATTTAAATATTGTTTATTTAACTGTGAATTCTAATAACTTAATTAAATTTTTCGAAAAATTAAAAAAAAAAGTACATTCCAAATACTTTAGTTCAGGGTCATATTTCAGTGGAGTTTCCATATTTTGTGGTTTTTTGAAGACTATGATGATTTTTTATATTTTCTTGTAGTTTTTAAAATAAAATGCTATTAAATACAAGTTAGTACCAGTTGCTTGGTACTCGACGTACACGATAAAGAATCACAAAGTAAGGCAAACCCGCAGAAATAGGACCCTAAACTTTATATAAGAAAAAAATGTTAACTTATTTAATAATAAATGTAAAGACCGTTCAAGTAGTTGAAATGTACTTGATTTAATTTTCGAAAAAATTTAATTAATTTAATAGAATTCACAGTTAAATAAACAATATTTAAATGTCTGGACCACACAATTATTAAATTAATATTTTGCTATAAAAGCCAGAAATTTTAATATTTAACTCAAAACATTTAAGAGATTAATTAAATATTAGAGCTTAAATAATTAACAAAATGTTTATTTCATTATTAGCTATCTTGGCATTGTCTGCCATTATGAATAATGAATGTAATATTTAATTTTATTTAAAAATATAAAAATCTGTTTAGTTACTAACGCAATTGACCAAGCTGGACGTGACGCAGTAGTTTATTGGCACAATTATTTCCGTGCTGAACTAGTTGCAGGAAGGGTTAAAAATAAAACTGGAGAGCTTTTGCCAAAAGCAAAAGATATGAAAAAAATGGAATTTTCTTTAGAACTTGAAAAGCAGGCACAGGCATGGGCTGATAAATGCACTTATAGTCATTCGGACCCATATGGGAATTATGGAGAGAATTTCTATGCTTATGCAAGAATGGACAATGATTGTATTTAATTATTTAATTAAGTCTTATTTCTCTAAATTAAAGCTGCTGCCATCGAGTATGTAGTAAAAGGATGGTGGTCAGAGTTGGAATACAGAGGAGCTTTGGGACCTTATCCTGGCCAAGACTGCGTTGCATTTGATGCACCTCAAAATAATAGAGGTATTGGACATTGGACACAACTTGCCTGGTATAGCACTTATCAAGTCGGGTGTGGAATTGGACGTTGCCCCAAATATAAATCTTATGTTGTTTGCCAATACAAGCCACCGTAATAAATATTTAATTTTATAGTTAAAATTAATTATTTTTAGTGGAAATGTTTATACAGGATGTGTTTATCATGCTGGTGAGCCTTGTACTGATTGCAAAGATAAATGTGATAGTAAAACCAAACTTTGCCTTAATTGATGTGAAATGTGAAATTTTTAAGGACTAAATTATAACGATATACATAGTTGTAAAAGATTATAATGAGTTAATAATTGTTAATAAAAAGATTTATAATAAAATTTAACTAATAATAAATAAATAATTCAAATGGTATGTTCGCACTTTTGTCCAATATTAGGGTCTGGTCTCATTTACTATAAAAATGTATTTCCATTACATATTTAATGAATTTTCAGCAGTACGAACATAATATCAACGTTATATTAAATGTCTTTATTACTCCTTTCCAAAAAACACAAAACGCAAGAATACAAAATTAAAAATTTTATTCATAAATTATGCATTGACCATTTTTCGATCGAGTATCAATAAATTATGATGTATAAAAAGTTGTTTTTCAAATTTAACATCAGCAATACTTGTTCTTTCAGCTGAAAATAAGCGTTCTGATTCAGATGAAGTTGTAAAATGTGATATATTTTATGTACAATCATGTTGAGTAATTAAAGTATTGTTAATAAAAATTTATAGTTAAATTTGACGAACATTATTTATTGTTAGTAATTAAATAATTCTTGTCTGTCTCATTTGTTATTCTAACAGAAAACACTTGTTTGGACAGCTTTTGTTAAGTTAAATAGATGTTTATGTTTATCGAGAGACAACGGATTGATGATGAGAAATAAATTATATTAATTATTATTATTTTTTATGTGTCTATTAGCCAGAAGCCAGAATTTCAGAGACTATTTCTCAAATGTTTAGTGACATGGCCAAAAATATGTGTGACTTATCACTTAATTAAACGCTGGTTTTTGGTCCTCTATCGGATGGTACCACAAACATTCAAAAGTTATTTTGATTATTCAAGTTTAGCTTCTACAACTATATTATTTAGATGAGAGATTTTTTTTTTAAAAAGTCTCCTAGTCATTTCTTCTGCAACTCTATTTAAAAAATTATTTTTAATTTTTTAAATTAAAAATATTAATCGATAAATCCATATTTAAAGCAAGGCATTAAATTTAGAGAGTCGAAAATAGCGATAGCTAGACACAAAACACATATGGGCATTAGTCGATTTATTCTCCTCATTCATTATAAAAATTAAAGAATTTTAGTTAAAAAATATTTTTTTTACCAAAATCCTTCAAGTCTTGTCAAAAAAGTTATTTGCGGATTTTTGAAGAATTTTCCTTATTGACGTATTTATTGTTAGAGTTCGAACCCGGGCCGGGCCCGGACCGGTTTTTTCCGGGCCCGGTGGCCCGGAACCGGGTATTTTTGAGAAAATCCGGTTTTTCCGGGCTAACCGGTTTTTCCGGTTTTATCCGGAAAAACCGGCCCGGGTGCGATTTTGAGTAAAAAAACCGGGTCCCGGGCCCGGTAATTTTTTGCCGGGCCCGGAGAGTCGCCTCCGGCGGTGAAAAAGGAAGAAATTTGGCCTCTTGGCCTTTCAAAATTCTCAAAATTTTCGCCTGCGGCGCTGAAAAACGAAGAAATTTTGCTCTTGGCCTTCCAAGATTCTAAAAATTTTCGCCTGCGGCGCTAGAAAAAGAAGAAATCTAGCTCTATATATCCCCATTAATCACCATCAGTAGATTTAATTGAAAATTCGGATTTGAAGAGGAAATCGGAGGATTAAGGGGGATATTATTATATTTGGAATTACTATGAATCCCTTCAAATTCATAATCTTCTATATCCCTCCAAATCTCTGATATCACATGAAGGCTTCCCAAATAAGTCAAATCCACTTATTTTCCCAGACTACAAATTTTTTCAAAAATTGCTGATTGCTGCGGACTGCGGATTTTAAAATTAAAATTGCGGATCGCGGCTGTGGAAAATTTTTTTTCAAGGATAGATGAATCTATCCTTTGATTCATCTATCCTTTAATCAATCCTTTGTATTTTTCCGATCCTTTGTATGTGTAATAATTTTTTTATGTTTTTAATAAATTTAGAAAAAACCGGGTCCGGGCCCGGGTTTGAAAAAATCCGGTTTTTCCGGGCTAACCGGTTTTTCCGGTTTTATCCGGAAAAACCGGTCCGGGTGCGATTTTGAGAAAAAAAAACCGGGTCCCGGGCCCGGCATTTTGAAAAGTTCGAACTCTATTTATTGTTATCGCCCGCAAAAACAAAAATAAAGTTTTAAATATTCAAAGAAATTAAAGCTAAAATTTGTCTAAAAAATAAATATTATATAAAAAATTTGTAAAATAATATTATATAAACATTAAAATATTTAAATGTTAATTAATTTATTTTTATCTTCACTATTTTTTATTGCAACATTTCCTGATTACATAGAAAGTGTTAACTTGTTGACTAGAACTTATGACGGTATTCTTTTAAAATATAGCTGATTATACTATATTTTTATTAAAAAATAAATTTCCAGAGATTATTAATCTCAAAGATACCCTTTTCTATACATGTAATGCAAACGAAAAAAATATCTTGACAGCTTTGGAAGGTAAATATAAAATGTTATATTCGGCAGATTCAAACGAAACTGAATTAGTTGAAGTGTTAATAAACACTCGGATAAATATTATGTCAATCCATTATTTGTTATTATCAATTTATTCCATACAAACGAACAGAAAAAAATTATTTAAAGGGTTTGTAATTCATTTAATTAAAAATTTATTTAAAATTCCAAAAAAATATAGTTAAATAGAAGCCCTGCCTATTTAAGAATAAGGAATTGAAGGTGAAAGATGTTTGAATCCCAGAGGTGTTAGAGCTAAGTAGGAGTAATGGTTTCGGTATACCGCTTGATCTAGCACAAGGCTGACCGTATACAATAATATGAAAGCTTAGTTGGAATAATCGTCAACTAGCTAAATAAGGAATGACTCACAGTCCAGCCCGACTGAAGCGATTTCCATAGATTATTAGCCTCAAAGATCTAATTTCATTTAGAGCCTCAAAGATCTAATTTCACTTTAGAGCATATTTTATTTTTTTAAATAAACAAAAATATTTAAAGATGTATTGTGTCTTATTTTAATTCTGAACAAGATGTTGCTTTATGTAAATTTATAGTCTATAGACAAAAACTTAATGATATTACATTAAATAATCAACAACATACCTATTCTTTTGAGGATTGTTTTGATAAAGATAAAAGAATAAAAATTAATTCCGAAAATTTGGAAATAATAAAATTTTCAAATTTTTTAGTTTTTTATTTTTATTTGATTAAAATTGATGGGGGATCAAGGAAATATTTGAGGTAAAAATAATTAAAATTCAAAGAAAATATAAAATGTTTTATTTTTAATTATATTTTTTTTAAATAATAATTTTAAATTTAAACTGTAAATCTCAACTAAAATTGCATTAATTTTTAGTAATTTAAATCAAAAAAGTCCAAAAACACAACAAGTATTTGCAACAATCGACTATTCTAAAATTAAATATAAAATTATTTTAACGAGGTTAGAAAATTTGTTTGGACGGATTGGAGTTTTAATTTTGTTTGAATCTATGCCTAAATTATTTCCGAAAGGTTTTTTAATAGTTAAAATAAATTTGAATTAAATTATGAGGGAATTAAAAATAAATAATTGTTATAAATTCTTTAAGCTGCCCAAGCTTATCGCGTATAGTAGGAGAACATAATGGCTTTTATTACTCTAAGGCTTTCTTAGTAAATTCTAGGAGGCTATAAACAACGATAATTATGAGAAATGTTGTAGGTCCAAAACTGAACAGAATCGGAAATCTTAAGATCTTTGGTCCTGTATCGGTTTGGTTTCTAAACCGAAAGTATCTGTAGTAATTTGTTTGCGAAATTATTATAAATTATAAAAAAATTTTATATACCGTATATCCGCTAATATAATGCTTCTTTGGCAGGGGATTGAAAATAGAATGCCCGAACATTCAATTAAAGCTAATGTGGTATTTTAATTTTTGATAATTATTTAAGTTGAATATTCCACAAATCAAGAAGAAGAAGAAGAAACAATTCTTTATTTATTTATTAATTATTTTAAAACGGAAAGCATAATTGAAAAATGGCAAATTAAACGTTTATTATTATTTATCGCTTATAAAGATTGGTTTAAAAAGAATTCGAAAGGTTTAATATTTAAATTAAAAATTAAATTTTAATTTTTTCCAGTATCAAAGTGGTATAAACATTTAGAAAAGACAATAGAAATATTTAATGAAAGTTATTTTAAAGGAGAATTTTTTATTCAAAAACATTTTTTCGAAAATAAGCCTCTAGATATAAAAACAAACATTCAAAAATTTGCAGTAAATTTATTTTAAATATTATTTAGAATCTAATAAGAACACACTGACTATAGGGTTGAGGGTTATTTCTATATTAAACTAAGCGTGACCGTTGGACCTTGCGAGTTCGGCGAACCCAACCAGCGAGTCGCGGTCCGCCGAAAATTCGGTGTCGGTATCGTGTTCGGGTTTCAATTTTGACCATTATTCCAGCTTTGACCCCTTTGGTTATTAGAATTCCGAAATTTTCCATAGCCTCGGTTCGCCTGGTTCCATGACGAGTAACAGTTCGGTTGACCTCTCCAGTTACATCTATTTCCCCGGTTTCCTTGGTTTTATCTATAATAGCCGATAATTTTGGCCCTGGCTATTTTGACCTTTTGTATTGATGAACTCCCTATTTCTGTTAGTCTCTCAATATTACTTTCCTCCAAACTCTTCACTAGCTTTTAACGGCTTCCACTTCAATAGTTCTTCTTTCTCAGTCTCAGATCCTTCCGATTCGCGTTCAACTCTATCCAGCTTTTCGAAAAACTTTAAAAATCTATCCCAATTATACTTAACCCTAGTTTTTTTATTTGCTAGCAATTTGCCCTAACGGGATCCTAAATGTCGCCGGCCGATGGAATTTAGGACGGTTAAGCAGGGAATTGGGGTTCTTTTTATTACATTTTAAAGGGCCCTATTTTAGCTTTGGAAAATGTTCAATTCACCTATCGAACGTGCCTTTCGGCGCATAATTGCTCTATCTTTTGACGGGGAGTTGAACTCTGGGAAGAACCGACTTTCACCTCGTTTTTTGGAGGATCCAGCCCCAGAGAAAAACTTTTGGAACCCGCTGAACTTCGCCCTGACTTCCTTCGCCCTGACTTCCCTTACTCTCCTACTTCTACTCGTTTTCGTGGCGCCAAAATTTAAGATGATGAAGAAGAAAAACAAGGCTGATTATCCCCTCTTTTCGAGCAATTTCCCCTCTATTTCTCACCCATGTCGCCATGGGACTTAAGAAATATGGCGGTGTAAAATTTAGCAAATATGACAGTTATACTATCCAAAAAAGTATTTTTCGTTCAGATATCAGATCAGGATCCGCCAACCCTACTCGCATACACCAATATGCACTTTTATTCAAGTGCGATGACAGTTGTATAGTATAGCAGAATGTTATAATAAGTTATTGACCGAGCGAGATCTGGGATAAAATTGGATATCGAGATATCTCCCAGATGACCCTTCTATTCCTATCTCTAATTATCTAGTTAAAATCTCGTTTAGATTTTAAAAATTAATTAAAGTCTTAATTAATAAAAAAATATTTTTTTATTAATTTTATGACATTTTTATCACCACTGAGGAATATGCTAAAACTGAAATGTATAATAAACAAATATATTATCAAGCAGCAAAAGAATGTACAGAAAAAATGCAAACATATACAGAAAAAGATGAAAAAGAAAATTTTGAAACAAAAATTAAATTTTGGAATTTGTGTATTAATTTAAATTTGGATGACTCTTTTAAGGAAGAAAATATAAAAGGGCAAAAGGAAATGCTTGCAGAATTTTTAATTAATTATTTGAATAAAGATATGAAGAAAATAAATGAATGGAATGAAAAATTGGGGAGAATTCATGGTTATTTTTTAAAATTAAAATTAATTATAAATTTGAAAATTAATTTATTTTAAAATAAAAATCATTTTTAGAGGGATACAAATAATACATAGTTATCAGTGATCGCGCCAGCCAGATTCACGATTCCCAAAAATCAGTAATTTGGTTTTTTCTGTCGGCGCGATCCCTGATAAGTACATATAATAGTAAAATGGAAGAATCCATCTTAAAAAAATGGATGGATATGATCTTTAGAACTCTTTTGATATAATGTTGTTAAACGATCAACTATCCCGCCACTGATTATCTATTTGTCTTTCTTAATATAAAATTTTCCGGGATAAAATTTGCGGGAATTTTTAAAAAACATTCAAATTTTTTTACTAAAATTAAATTTAGAAATCGAGAAAAAGATGCAAGAATTAACAAATAATTATTTTAAACAAATTTTAAATAAAGCCAAAAATCCTTTAAAAAATAAAGAAGGATTTACTAAAAATAAAAAGAAAATTGAAGAAGAATTGGTAGAAATTAAAGAAGAAAAAGAAGAAATTAAAGAAGAAAATAAAGAATTAAATAATAATTTAAAATTATATAAACAAAAAAATATTTTGTCAAAAAATGAGAATAAAAATACAATAGAAATTAAAGAAAAGACAAAAACAGAAGAAAATAAAAATAAAGAAAGATTAAATAAAATATTTGAAGATTTAAAGGAAATTAAAGAAATGAGTGAAGATACTAAAAAAGGAAAGAAAAAATTAAAGATAAATACTAGTAAAAATGATGAAAATATTATTAAAAATGATGAACAAATAGAAAGGAATAGTACAATTATTCCTCTAAATAATAATTATTTAGTAATCAAAATTATTCAGATGTTCAAATATTTTCTAAAAAGAAGAAATGTACATATATTTTTAATATTTGAGTTTGCTACTTCCTCCCGTCATTCTATTCCCCTTTCCTAGGAAAACACGGGTTTTAGAGGCTCCCGGACAATGTGTCAGTGGATAATCGGTCAGTACTGATATAAAGTAATCAAAAGCGACGATGTGAAGTGATAAAAATTCACTGATATCCCTCCAAATCAGCTGATCTACATCTTAATTCAACCAAATAACTTAATATCTCTGTTAATCCTCCCAAACCCGAGATATCGGCCTTAATTCCAACAAATCCCTCTATATCTCTTTTAGACAAAAGGACTAATAAAATTTACCAAAACTTGCAAGTTTATTTTTTTACTGGCAAAACCCCTTCTAGCTATATGTATATTTATTAAATTATTTTTATTATTTAGATCAATTTATCATCAAAATTGGATTTACTATAAGTAAAAATATAATTATATTTTAAATTAAATAGTATTTCCTTACTTTTCGGAAATATTTTAATTTTAAATTAAAAATTACTTTTATTTTTTAAATAGATTATGAAAAAGACGTAAAAGTTTTAAAAGATTATGATAATAAATTCAAAGAGCATCAAATTATTTCTATCGAGGAACTGCTCCAAACACTTACTAATGTCAATATTGAAACAAAATGTTTATTTTTTATTTTTAAATTATAAATTTATTTTTTAAAAGTTCCTCTATAAATTAGCTTTTTTAACTAAATTCCTTTATTTTAGTTGTGAAAGTTTGTAATTACTATTCTGATGTATGGGAAAAAATCCCCCTCGGGATCACGACGGGATTTTCCAGAAACACGATCCAGGAAATCCCGGATTTTTTTGAATTTCGGGATCATTCGGGATCCGGGATTTTTCCGCGATTTATCCCTCAGGATCCCGTCCCGGCATCGGTTAAGAAAAAAATCCACACTCGAGATACTGGAAGTTCGATTTTGCTGGTCTCTACCTTAACATCTTTTAAAATAAAATTAACTATTTTAGTCGAAGATGGAGGATATCTGTCCCGCATAAAAGACCCTCGCAAAATATTTTCCAAAGAAGACAATATCCCAAAATTTTTTTGTCCAATTGAAGATTTTATTAAAATTATTCGCAAAAAAGTTATAGGCCATGAAAATATTTGGAAATTAAGTGAGGAAAATGAAAATAAGGATCAAGTATTTGAACCTTTATGGAATTCCAATTATAAACTTTACATTGAATATAAACATGAAAAATATCAGCGGAAATTTAATAGTAATAATTTTTAAAATAATTATTAAGATATATGTATTTACATACATTTAATAATAAGACACCTTAATTTAGAGGGGTATATTTTGTTAACCCCAAACGATAACTAATAATAATAGGGTTGGCAGATCCGAATATCCAGCTTCAACTCCCCTCATTCTTTTCCCTCCTCTTTCTTCATCCTTGCCTAGCCAAAGTATGCCTTACAGTATGCCTTACTTACAAACCAAAGTATGCCTTACAAAATTTTTATAAAAATTTTAATTTTCAAGTTGTTTATTCAAAAGAGAACAATTCTGTTGATATTTATAATTTTGATAAGAAAAAAGAAAGTTATAATTATATACGTAGAATTACCAGAAAAGGAATTGATGAATATGTAAATCCTTCAACAATTAAAAATGATAATGAAAAAATTATTTTATTTGACAAAAATCCTTTTGGGTCAATAAATTATTCAGATTTATTAAATTTAATTAAAAACGAATTTTTTGACAAGAAAGGAATTAAAGTTTTGGATGAACGTATTTTCTTTTTTAAATTAATTTATTTATTGTCAGCTGACAAAAAATTTGTAAAAGATTTAAAGAATTGGCCAAAAGAAATTGTAAATATAGAAAAATATATGGAAAATAGAAAATTAAAAAATTGGTTGAATTTTGAGGAAATTATTAAAAATATAGAGAACTAAGTAGTTTATTATTAAAAAAATTTTTCTTTGATTTTTATGAAATTATTTATGTTAAAAATAGATTTATGCGCACCAGAGATGTCACGGGCTACACGAAACCGGGCTGTGAAAACCTGATTATCGAGAATTTAGATGTTGATCTTCTCTGGCCTCTTATGCCGCCAAATCGCCAGTATCATTCTTAAACTAACTCGGAGATATTGGAGATACCTATTAAATCGAAAATATTATAAATCGCAAAAGCTTATTCTCAAGTAGGCTGAATTCTGATCTTTAACTGACCCGACCCGACAACCCGATACCTGACCCGACTTTTTTCATAACCCGTGCCATTCCTGGTGCGCAAATACCGTAAGTTTCTGTCTTCGACCAGTTTTAAGACCAGTTTCTGGCCGCCACCGGTTTTTGGTAGCCTAGTACCGAGTTAGCTAAAATTTCTCATACAGAATATCATTCAAACGCATTCAAAAAATCATAATCTGAAAACTCTGTCGGTGCCTAAGGCACCAATAAATCGAAGACCTTTCTTTTCTATTTCGTTTCAGTTTAACCGATCGTGCATAACACAGTTAGAACGAAACATTTGATTTTATTTAATTTTAACTCCTTTGTATTGAAATTAAAACCTGCTTCAAATAAGAAAAGAGACGGACATGTTTCTATAAAAGTAGAAAGAACAAAGAAATGTTTTTAAAACTTTAAGAAATTGTTTAGATTAAAAGGCTAACAATTATATTTACTTTATTTGAGGCAGGGCTTAGCATCATAACAATTAGATGTGTTTCCGTTTAATCTGTTTTTATTATTTTTTCCTTTAAATTCATTTAACAATTTTTATTTAAATTTTTCCTAAAGAAAAATCTTTTATCTAGCACATTATTCCATTTAAAAAATATTCATATTCTAAATTCGTTACTATAGAAACAATTTATTTTTATTTAAATATAAATTCTTTTTAAATTTTTGATTGATTTTGTTTAAAAAATATAAATGGAACAATGGGATACTTGGCTAGCTAATGATATTTTTGTTTGTAATAAAATTAAAAATGAAAATAATATTAAAGAAACAACAAATAAATTGAAAGAAAATATTAGAAACAATAACTTAGATAATACACAGGAAATAAATAAATCGGATGAAACAATAACGACGCCTTTATGGTCAGCAAAAATTGTATTTATTTTTAATTATAATTTTTTTACTTAATTATAATTTTAAATAAAAGCTCTTTCGATACTTTTGAATAGTTGGGGGCCCTGTCCGGTCAGATCATCCAATTTTGTTACGAAAAAGAGTAGACCCGGCCCGATAAAAATGAGGCCCGAAAAGACTAGAACGTCGGCCCGGCCAGAAAACCCCAACCCTACTTTTGAATATGGTAAAATTATCCAACATTCCTGACCCTCCAGTGTTTGGAGTATTGTGGATCGGTTAAGTATGCCGGGGAGGGATTTTCGATGGATTGGGGCTACCTCAATTTTAAGTATAGAATATTTAAAATTATTTTTAAAATAAACTTTCAATAATTACAAAATTCACTAAAATAATTTTTTGTCTTATTAATAATCTTTAACAATTTTTTAAAGATAGAAAACCCCAAAAAACTTAATTGTACATCAAAAAGTGATTTGAATTCTTTTATTCAATTAATTGAAAGGAAGAAACCTTTAAATGAAATTTTAAAAATTGAAAACCTTTCGGGTATTAAAAAAATTTTTTTTAATTTTTGTTTAAAAGATGAATTAAAAAATGAGGCAATTCTTTGGGATGAAAAATTTCCAGATTTGACAATATTTGGAAAAGGGATAAAGAAAAGTTTGGAACAACAAGAAAGAGATAATTTAAGAAAAATAATTTCAAAAAGAATTATTGAGGACCATTTAATGCCTGAGGTTTTTTAATTAAATTAAAAATTTAAAAATATTATTTATTTAGGTATATGCTTTCCTTAATACAAGGAATTCTGGCAATAATAATTCAAAATCTGGCCATTTTTTTCTTCCACCAATATTGAATTCTCAAAAGAAAGAGTTGAATAAAATGATAAACAAAAAATGAAAATTTTACGTTCTAAACACATTCTAATCCTTCCTAAAAAGTGGAACTTCTTTTTTAATCTTCCACATTTCATAAGCAATACAGTCAATTTCAATTAATTTAATTAAATCTAAAAATTAGTAAATTCAGTCAATATTGATATATTGGGGTGGTCCACAAGTTCGTTCGTTTTTTATGCAAAAAATTTAAACAATCATAACTCGAAAAATTTAAAAGATTATTCTTCAAAGTAAAGTCATTTGTGTTCTATGCACTGGTCTAACCGATCTCTGTTTTTCTTCGAGACTTGTGTCGCCATCATTGAATTTTTAAACCAATTTTGTGCAAGACGAGCTAAAGTACACTATCACCTTCAATTTCGCAAATTTTTCGCGCAGCTTCCGTTTGTTTTATGTTCTGTTTCCAATAGTGAAGTAAAAGTGCACGAAAATAGTATTATTCCATATTTTTGTAAAATCCTTAAAAAGTTTTTTAAAAAGTGAAAAATTATTAAAGAACATCTAAAATTGGCCACTATCTAAAATATCATGATTCGAATATAGACTATCTAATTTTATTAATTTCATATATAAAATACAAATTTTATAACGATTTCAATATTTATTGTTAGGGTTGCCGTTTTCGAGTCGGGCCGACGGTCGAGGCATTTTTTTTCGGGCTTGTTTTTATCGAGTCGGGCCGGTACGAGTCTTTTTCGGGCCTTACTTTATCGAGTCGGGCCGATACGAGTCTTTTTCGGGCCTAACTTTATCGAGTCGGGCCGGAACGAGTCACTTTCGGGCCTGACTTTATCGAGTCGGGCATCGAGACATTTTCGAGTCTTTTTTAAAAGATTTATTTAAAAATAATTAGTGGATTTGGAGGGATATCTGTGAATTAAAAGGTATATCGATGGATCTGGAGGGTAAAGGAAGGGCTGAAGAGAATTTAAATGGATATCAGTGGATTTGAGGGATTAAGGTGATTTAAATTATCGGAGGATTGGTGTGAGATATTGCTAGATTTGGTTTTATTAAAGGAGATCAGATGATTAAGGGGATCTGGATCGCGTTAATTATATTGTGCGTTAATCACCAAACCCCTTAATAAAATCCCAGTGTACCATGATTGGTCTATTCGTATTTAGATAAGGGCTTACTGGAAAGTCAGGAAACCAGATTTCTTCTATTTTTAGCGCCGCAGGCGAAAATTTTGAGAATTTTGGACTCCCTGGATACGCCCTTAACTTAATCTCTCAAACCGCCTTATATTCCCAGATTACACCTTATATCCCGGATGGTGGACTGCGGATTGCGTAAGATTGTGTTTTTGACTTGTGGACTGAAGATTACGACTGCGTATTTTAAAGTAGAGTTCGAACTTTTCAAAATGCCGGGCCCGGAACCCGGTTTTATTTTCACAAAATCGCACCCGGACCGGTTTTTCCGGATAAAACCGGAAAAACCGGTTAGCCCGGAAAAACCGGATTTTTTCAGACCCGGGCCCGGACCCGGTTTTTTCTAAATTTATTAAAAACATAAAAAAATTATTTATTTAATCAAAAAATCCTTAACTCATCAATCATTAACTCATCTACATGGCCAAAAAGGGTCAACTCATCCAATACTTAAAATATCGAGTCCTTACTAGAGCACGGGACGGGACTAGGGCTGATCGAAATAAAAAAATTTTTATTAAAAGATATCTTCTATATCCCGGATAAAAGAGATATCTTCTATATCCCTTGAGATTTCTTCTATTTCACTTCTATATCCCCCTTTCAAAACCACAGGTATTTACTTAATCCATAAAATCTAAATATACACAAATTCGCTGATATCGCTTATAATCACCTAAATCCCACTATATCTCTTTAATCATTTCAAATTTGCCTCTCTCTAGATCCCCTAAAGTCCTATTATGCAACCTAACTTGTCTCTCTACAATTTACCCATTAATCCCTTTAAATTGACATATATCTTAATCTTAATTTGGAGTAATTTTAGCCTTAATCCAATTTGGATACAACTTTAGCATATTATAATCTGGGTTTCAAAAATTTTTAATATTTTTAAATCACAAATATAAAGATTTACGACTATGGTAGGTTGGGCGACAGAAGGCTGGTCTACTCACTCAAAACCCGAAAAGGGCCGCATGCGAAAATTTTTTGAATTTTGGAGCTCAAAAAGCCAAATTTTTTCCATTTTCAGCGCCGCAGGCGAAAATTTTGGGAAATTTCGGGGTCCTTAAGACATATTTCTTCTTCGTCAAAAAGACTTCGGGCCCGGCAAAAAATTACCGGGCCCGGGACCCGGTTTTTTTACTCAAAATCGCACCCGGGCCGGTTTCGGGTTCGAACTCTATTTTAAAGTTAAAATTGTTGACTGCGGAAAATTGTGGACTCTCAAAACTGATTGAGTTTAAAAAGTTCAAATGATGATGGGATCCCGCGGAATATATCCTATAAATCCCAGTAATCCAGCTTATCGATTAAAACCAGTAAGTTCGAGATGTGAAGCAAAGTATGGAGCTAAAAATTTTTCATTTCAGCGCCGCAGGCAAAAATTTTGAGATATTCGGAAGGCTAAGGAACAAATTTCTTCCTATTTCAGCGCCGCAGGCGAAAATTTTTCGAATTTTGGAAGGCCAAGAAGCCTGATTTCTCCCATTTTTGTCCACAAATCTGGTAAAAATATTATCGAGTCTTGTTCGAGTCGGGCCGACTTTTTCCGAGACAATTTTTTTCGGGCCTGTTTTTATCGAGTCGGGCCGGTACGAGTCACTTTCGGGCCTAACTTTATCGAGTCGGGCCGTTACGAGTCTTTTTCGGGCCCAACTTTATCGAGTCGGGCCGGTACGAGACTTTTTCGGGCCAAACATCGAGGCATGACTCGATCTTTCGGTCCGAGTCGGTCCATTTTGGCAACCCTATTTATTGTTAAATAAAATTATTTAATAATAAAATTTAAGAATCAAATTAAATAATAATTGTTTTTATTTGTTTAAATTAAAAATTTAACAAAAGAAATATGAAATAAAATAAAAAATTTTATAGAAATATTAAAGTTTTATTTGATTTTAAAATTTAAAAAAAGTTTAAAGCTTCTATCAAATAAAAAATATTTTTTAATATTTCTTACATAAATTCAATCATTTTTAAATTATAAAAATTTTATTTATAAGAATAGATAATTTAACAAGAGTCTTATAAGAAAAAGCACGAAATTTTAGTAAAGAATTCTAAGAATTCTATATAAAATTCTGAAATGTACTTTTGTTTTAATTTTCGAAAAATTTAATTAATTTAATAGAATTCACAGTTGAATAAACAATATTTAAATGTCTGGACCACACAATTATTAAATTAATATTTTGCTATAAAAGCCAGAAATTTTAATATTTAACTCAAAATATTTAAGAGATTAATTAAATATTAGAGCTTAAATAGTTAAACAAAATGTTTATTTCATTATTAGCTATCTTGGCATTGTCTGCCATTATGAATAATGAATGTAATATTTAATTTTATTTAAAAATATAAAATTCTGTTTAGTTACTAACGCAATTGACCAAGCTGGACGTGATGCAGTAGTTTACTGGCACAATTATTTTCGTGCTGAACTAGTTGCAGGAAGGGTTAAAAATAAAACTGGAGAGCTTTTGCCAAAAGCAAAAGATATGAAAAAAATGGAATTTTCTTTAGAACTTGAAAAGCAGGCACAGGCATGGGCTGATAAATGCACTTATAGTCATTCGGACCCATATGGGAATTATGGAGAGAATTTCTATGCTTATGCAAGAATGGACAATGATTGTATTTAATTATTTAATTAAGTCTTATTTCTCTAAATTAAAGCTGCTGCCATCGAGTATGTAGTAAAAGGATGGTGGTCAGAGTTGGAATACAGAGGAGCTTTGGGACCTTATCCTGGCCAAGACTGCGTTGCATTTGATGCACCTCAAAATAATAGAGGTATTGGACATTGGACACAACTTGCCTGGTATAGCACTTATCAAGTCGGGTGTGGAATTGGACGTTGCCCCAAATATAAATCTTATGTTGTTTGCCAATACAAGCCACCGTAATAAATATTTAATTTTATAGTTACAATTAATTATTTTTAGTGGAAATGTTTATACAGGATGTGTTTATCATGCTGGTGAGCCTTGTACAGATTGCAAAGATAAATGTGATAGTAAAACCAAACTTTGCCTTAATTGATGTGAAATTTTTAAGGACTAAATTATAACGATATAGTTGTAAAAGATTATAATGAGTTAATAATTGTTAATAAAAAGATTTATAATAAAATTAAACTAATAATAATTCAATTGGTATGTGAGCACTTGTATGCAATATTAGGGTCTGGTCTCATTTACTAGAGCTGTCCGAGACCGAAATTTTTCCAAGACTCAAGACCCAAGACAAAATTTTTTCCAAGACCAAGACTCAAGACCAAAACTCCAAGACTCAAGACCAAAAATAATGCAAGACTCGATACAAAAAATCAATTTTATCTAGCTTAAAATTAAATTTTAATCATCAATTTTCGGGCTTCATTTTTTTCGGGAAGAAGCGAAAATTCAAAAAAGAAGCGAAAATTATGTTAAAATAAATTAATTTCACCAATTAGGATTCAAATTGAATTTTTTCCCCCAGGTTTGAATCAAAGCTTATAACTCGGCACAGGTTTGAATCATTTAACCTGGGGGAAAAACTGAATTCAAGAACACTACCACTGCGTCACCGAAGAACACATTAGTAAATAAAAAGGAATTGTTTATATCTAAAAAAGAAAACTGTGGGGGTTCGTAAAATTTTGGGGACTTATAACTAAATAATTTCGGGGCATATAAATAACTCGGCCCACGGTACCATTTAGCGGAAATGATCAAATTTCTCAACTAAATTAGGGTATGATGTACCTGTCTGTAAAATTTCATGCCGAAGTCCCACGCACACCCCAGGCACTCTCCTTTGTGAGAGATATCGGAGGATTGAGGGGATTTCTCCAAAT